CTGTAATCAAAAATATAGATAAATCGCACATAACAGCTGATACTTGTACTGATCTATCTTCTGATCACTCTCATATAATAATAAAGTAAAGTTATGTGAACAACCCATATTCGTCAATCCGAAAGTGGGTGTAACTTCTTATAAAACGAATTGGCCTAGACAACAAAGTACTTTTATATAATGCGGTCATAACGCCGATTTGGATGTATGACATTCAACTGTGGGGTACGACTTGTGCAACTAATATTGATATATTACAAAGGTTTCAATCAAAAATGCTTAGAACAATCACATGTTCACCATGGTACAAGCGTAACGAAAACATCCCTAAGATGTTAGTACCCCTATGGTAAAGAAAGAAGTAGAAGACAGAAGATTTAAATATATATCTAAACTCCGAGATCACCCAAACCCTTTGGCTAATGCTCTGGTGCATTCCTGCGATCAAACACGACTTAAGAGAAGAGATATGCCTGCATATTAAAGAGCGACGTATCACCAAAACAGCTCAATCGCTTGCTTGAGCCTGTCTAGCTTTTAAATAGAATTAAGATTTTATAACTTATTGTTAGGCTTTAAAAAAAAGCAGATCCAATAAATAAAATAATTTTGAAAAAAAAGTGAGATGGAGTAATGTGTGTGCTCTAACTGCTCTTGCATAAGCATAGCCATTCAACATTTTTTCTAACGAATTAATATCATCAATTGCTCCAAAAAAGATATGAGTAAATGGAACCCTCCAAGTCTTACTATGATCTTCGATAGTACAGAGTAAAATTGTGTAGATACMCAGCGAAATAAGGGTTCGTCGCTTACATTTTTCTTTGATGAATGCTTCGAAGATAATTCTATGTAGAATTCTTCGATACCAGGTAATGCATAAAAGGAAGCAATGCGGCTAAATTCTACTGTGTTGTAAGCGATACAATCATGCTGCACCGTTTACCTTGCTCGCTTACCAATGTCTACCATATTCGTAGTATTACTTGCTAGTTGATGAATGAATGGTAAAAAGAGAATTTCAGACTTTGAAAAACACATGATATTACTCGTTAAATGTAACCGTTATAACCAGATAATAGTATATCTTTCCATTTTCCATACAACCACAAAATATCAACTTTTTTCAGTGAAGATACTGCGGTGCTACTTTCATAATCGAAATTTTGTCTAACTATTTTACTATACCCAACTGCACCATCATTTTGATAGACTTTTATGGGTACATGAGTTTTTGCTGCAAAATTTTTCGCTTGTTTATAACTGCTGCTTTTGGAGTTATAATTTGAATGATACCCTTTATGTGGAGTATGGTGGAATATAAGGTGGACGTTGAAGAACTGCTGTTGCTACATCATAGTTTCATTATACGATGCACGCGAACCAAAAGAAGAAAAAAATGTAATAAGACGTTTTGATCCAAACCGTCGATGAAAAAACACTGACAGACCCAATTGCAACCGATTTGAATCACCTAGGYCGAACAGCAGGCACAATACAGTKKCTGACATTTGTACAATATCTTCCCGAACCATTGCTGCAGCTGCTTCAGGTATTCGTAACCGTTCTACTTTTTCATTTTGTTTTTTATTCACATAGCAAGCTTTGCTGAGGACGTCATGCTGTTTGTCAATGAAGCAATTTAATGTTGAACTTCCAAATTTCTCAGTTATAATGATTCTATTACCATACTTTAACTTGAGTTTTGACTTAATTGCTCTGTTATCGATCGATGGTTCTTTGCAAATACCTTTCAATTCTTGTATTGAAAATTGATCGCTGAAGTAATATAATCAATTTCAGGACACCGATTTTACCTCCACTAGTGGTTTTCAGAAACGAAGTGTAACAATCACTGTGGTACTTAGCCTCAGCGGCAACTAAGTCATATTCATACTGCATGCGGCCAACAACACCTCTTGCTAACTCATTAGAACGAGTCTGAGCTTCTTCAAACTGGTTTTATTGAAGTCAAGGGTTGAAACTTTAGACACTATTTGTCGAAGATGTTGAGCTTTTTTCATTTATGCCGTTTTATCTGCTTCATTGTCACAGAACAAACATTATTTCTGAAACAAAATAAAATTATTTCTTGCAAATAAAGCAGACTCCAGACAATTTAACAAAATTTTGTAATGGCATGGTTAAAAAACAGAATATAATTCACAAACACGTCTATTCACTACGAAAACCCGTTCAAAACTGAYTGCATTTACTGAAGCTATGTTCTTCGGAAAAAGCAGGTATACGCTGGCTTCGACCCATAAAATGGAGAGTCGCAGGCGGGCCGCCCAATAGAATTACGGACGGACGATGACTCACTCAGAATTATATATTTTTCTAATGTTTTTTTTTGTTCCAATGGTTAACCCGATGATGCATATTCGAGAACAGTGCACCGTAGATGAAAAAGTGCTGAGATTCTTTTTGTAGACAATTTTACGATCAAAAAMTCTTGTTTGAAGCATTTTTCGGTAGCTCTCATTGTTTCAGGGATATACGCAAAAAACGCAAATTTGTGACCTTTGACCTCGAATAAAAACAGCGCACAAGTGGGAACGATGGAGACTTTTGTCAAGTCATTTGTAATGACGGATCCAAGGCCTGCCCAAAAATCTAGCTTGTTGGGAATTAATGCAAACTTATGTCACAATTTAGCCAATTTTGACTGCCCTACAATTTTGATGGCTAAAATTAAGTATATTAGAACTCACCTATATACACTCCATGCAAATCATACAATTAAGAAAAGAGGGTTATAGTATGTTTACATATGAACTTAATCTCGTTATAAGCTTGTTCAATAATCTACCCGTTTACATAGGCAAATGAGATTATCAACAGTCAAATTTGTTGTATTTGGATTCTTCTTGGTGAATTGTAAAATTTCGTGAATCAATATTTTTACTCGTGAACTAAAAAAGAAAAAATAATAAAAATAAAAGATATGGAAAAAAACAAAACAACGCGATTGTATACTTGATTATGCAGATTGCTGCCAGTAATAAGAAGTTGTCAGAAATACGGAAAAGACGGCAACTTAGAATGGGAAAAATATTAACTGAGATAAAAATGCAAAATTCCTTATTGCTTTTTGTAATAATTAACAATAGGCCAAAACGTTTGTGGAAACACGTCAGCAATTACATCATTTTATAAAATTCCCACTTGACGATGTTTTGTAGGAAAGGCACGATAATTTTTAGGAGCTCGACGTTGCTTTCAATAGTGACCAATTCTACAAGGAGAGCTTCAGAATGAGTCGGGAATCATTCAAAATTKTATGTAATGAGCTAAGAAACATTGGCAAACGTGATACTACATACAGGCAATGTATTCCATTAGAAAAAAGAATAGCTATCGCTTTGTATGCCCTTGGTTCTTCTGCTGAGTACAGAAGAGTTGGAAGACTATTCGKGGTTTCCAAAGCGTCTGTATGTTTTATSCTTAAARACTTTTGCAGAGCGGTGTGGGACATACTATCGCCTAAATATTTAGCCAGCTCATTTCTTACGCAAGAAAAAATTACGGAGTGCGTTGAAGGATTTAGAAAAATTGGATTCCCCAATGTCTAGGCACAGTAGGTAAGTTTATGAATTTGAAATATTTTACCCATAACATGCAAATACAATTTATTTCAGATGGATGTCATATTGAGATTAGGCCCTCCGCATCTGATGCTCTTGACTATTTCAACTCGTAGACTRCAGGTAAGTTAACAAAATATATGTTTTGGAAAATACTTAAAACATTTTTTTTTTAGATATAGGTTTATGTACATTAATGTTGGAGCCTGGTCKTTGTAATGATTYCCAAATATTTGAAAAATCCGACTTGAAAAGAATTTTGCAGAACCCTTTCCTTAAAGAGAATGCGAAAACTTTGTGACACTAATGTCCCAATTGACGTTCTTGGAGCCCTATCCCTATAACCAAGTCGCTGAGGGTCACGAAAATATTTTCAATTACCACTTATCTAAATCTCGAAGGGTTGTGGAGAACGCTTTTGGCCACCTGAAGGCAAGGTTTAGAAGGATAGGGAAAGGAATTGGCAACGATATTAAAAACGATATATTAATAATAAAATGTTCTTGCGTCTTGCACAATTTTGTAAATGAAATAAATGATAGCATAAACATGAAATGGTTGCAAATGCAAACAAATTTCGAAAGCGCACACCCACGAGAGCAACCTGATCCGTTATTCATTTCTGGAACCGTCGACCCTAATGCAGAGAACATCAGAAAATCTATAGCTCTATTTTTATGTAAGTTTATGTGTTTTATTTTATCAGTTAATTTTTTCAGTAAATTCATTTTTCATATTAATATATCMCACATTAACAATACTAATTCATTCATTCAATATGTATATATATGTATATATATAATAATAAAAATAATCTTTTCCTGGACTAGATATACATATACTTCGTGGTGTAAAACGTAAATCTCACGTTTTCAAGGATATGTTGTTACATGCTTTCCTTAAATGCTTGCAAGAATTTTTCGAGGATGTCATTTCTTTTTCTTTCAATTTCAAGGGCCTCCCTGCCATCCTCTTTAATTGCTTCAATTTCCGCCGCAATTCTTTTATTTGAAGTCGGGATTCCTCCAAAAATTCATTTTGAATATTTTTGTTTGAAATATGTTTTTTTCTTTTTCTTGCAGGTTCCTCGTCAACAAACGGCAATTCTTCCTGGGAATACAGCGTAATGGAAGAGCTGTTAAGGGCTGATGCACAGTCTACAACTTCGTGAACTGTAATAAATTAGTTTATAAAAATAAATACAAACTTTTTAAATTTCTATTTTGTTTTACTAACCTGTGCTCTCCTCCACCAATGTTTCCAAATTGACGCTTTTATAGCTCCCGATAATACTATTTATTTTAGGGTAGAATTCCCATGCCGAAGAGSTGCCGCCAGAGGGACCAATAGATATCCTCTCATCTCTGTAAATTTTTTGAAAACTTTTATATGAAATGTACATGCATATTAAATAAACTTACATGTATTTATTTGTCAAGTTGTGTATTTTCACACGAATTTCATATGCAGCCATATCCTTGAAAACGTGGGAATTGCGTTTTACATCACGAAGCTGTGGC